GAAACTGCCAGTTACCCGTCCCCGTTTCACAAACCAATCGTGCACCAGCTACCCCACCGATTGGGTACGTAGCGCATGTGGAAAACCGTTTTCTTCCTGCATACGAAAGTCATTACAGCCCATGCCTACACTAGCCTTGCGCGATTGGCCCACTCCTTGGATATCATCAGCCCTTGGACGAATTCAGCTAATCATACGAGGCCCAAGACGCTGCGGGTAGCAGATTGGTGAAGAAACCGCACTTGTCAGCGAAGCACACTAGCGCTGCCGCCGTACCGTGTTGACGATCACATTTATGTGGCTGTCGATCTTGTCATACATACATACCGCCAGCGAAGCTGTCATTTCTGATTTTAGATTCTCTGCAAACCCAACCCCTTTGCGTCCAACATTCTCTTCTCACCATCTTGAAATATTTTGTCGTCATTTTATCAACATTCATTTAGCGAACCACTATCACAACCAAGGTCACACTACAATCATCAGTTTCTCTCGCACTTGTCTCCCTTGGCTCAATCCCAAATGCAACAAGACCTCCAAATCCAACAATCACCAATCATGAAAGAAGCAAGCCCCTCTAGAATCGATACCAAACCCACCCCCCGCGCCACTACAACCGCCCGCCTCCACCGCAGATACACCTCCCGCAGTCGGCCCATAACAACGCTCATCCTCCTCCTCATCTGCGTCCCCTTGGTCCTCTACCATGTTCTACCCTGCCTAACCCAGGCCATCAACAACTTCATCACCTCACATCTCGGCAACTCGTCAACCGAAAAAAGTTCATTTTGCACACAGAACGTCGGGAGTCAGGAATGTTGTGCCATTTACCTCACCGCACAGCCTTGTCTGGACGAGTGCGCAAAGTTATACATTGACCGCGAGACCATGGGGCTCACTGCTCAGTACGATGAGTGTGCGGATCAGTGTTTGGTCAGGTACAATTGGGCCTGCAAGAAGGACAAGAAGGACCAGAAAGAATAGGAGCTGGGCTGCAAATGATCAAGTTTTTTTTACTTTTATCTTCGACGACTACCTTTTCTCTTGGATGGGGGCAGGGCATGAGGCTTTCCCCGCCTCCCTCCCACCTGCGAGCCGCACATAGGGAACGATGGCTGTGCAATGTGGAGGTCGCCAAGATTGCGGCGCTGGAAGCGAGCGGGTAGGACGGCATTTGTGGCTTTAAACGACAAGCTGGGGACGGATATAACGGAAGAACAAGAAGAAGGAATCGGGACCTTACACGAAAGCGCGTATGAGGAAGCTGTTGCTGTGGTGATGCTACCGCTGGTGACGATCAAACAGCTTGTCCTTGACCATACTGGATGTATGCCGCTATAGCATAAGGAAATATTACAGCAATTTCACAGGGCCAATCGATTATTATACAGCTATTCTTTAGAAAAGAAAAGAAATATAGACCAAGCCACGGGCTGGGCTGGGCTGTGGAATGAAGAACGGAGAGATTACGTTTTCCCTTGAGTGAGATGCTTGCGCGAAGAACATGACTCGTGAAATGGGCTGCGTGTGAGACAACGGTAGTCAGCAACCCTCACGTGACCAACGCTCACCACGATACTGCGCGTCTTCGAGTACTCGATGAACGCATGGAAAAACCTTCCATTGAAAATATTATATACCGTCAATGTAACCGCTTTGCATATTATTGTCGCCGTTGGGAAATGGGAGAAGATACTCGATTGCCCAAGCCTGCCCTGTGCGGGAGTCCGACACGAATGGTATTTTATTCCCTTATTATCTCTGTTTCCTTCTGCTCTTGATTTACTCGAAATTCTATAATCGTATTGTATTGTGATACTGCCTACCCACCTCTCCTCCTCTATAGCATTACCGTCCACCCCTTCCTCGCCCTATCGCTCACACTCACATCCGCTACACCTAAAAACGTCCAACACAAACAGGTCATATATCACTCTCTACAAATACTAAGCGCTATAGTAAAGCTAGGAAGGGAGGAGGATCAGTTTCTCGGTTTCTCGAATAAAGATTCATCTAGAAGACTAAGTGAACAAGTAGCGGCGTGCATTGGTGGAAATAGCCACAAGAGACAAGTAGAGTGGAGAAAAGGAAAGTTAAATATAGGTAGAATGTGTGAAAGTTAGTGCAGCCCCCATACTGTACTTGCGGATGGGGTAAAAGTACTAGCCGAGATACCTAGGAAGACGACTGTCAGAACGTAGGTCTACGCCCACTACGCTATGCAACCAAAAAGGTACGTACGATCAGTGAACTCCTGATCATCGTGGTAGAATAGTATATATTGTTGGTAGGCCTTGTACGATCGTACGGGTGAATAACAACAACGAGGTTCTTCTGGTGACTGGTATTGGTATTGATCTTCTACGAACATAGCTGCTACGAAGGTACACCTAAGCTCTGCGCAAGGTGGGCCGAAGTCGGGCCGAAGTGTCAAGCAGCCGACGTCTCTACCGATACTCACGATTCGACATTGGAAGTCTTTTCTTTCTGGATAGCTAGTAACTCTGCTTGTATCGGTAGTGACAGTGTGTGTAGCATCAAACATCAAAGCTTGTCGGCCTCTGCACCCATCCATCTACTCGGACTGTCAGCTTGTTGCCGTCAATAAAGCGTTCAAGAGCGCGGTTTGGCGATGCCTTCGTGAAGGCGTCAGCAGGATTATCGTCACCATTGATCCAGCGGATCTCAGTGATCTCGCGACGCTCATATGATTGACGCAGCGCCATGATGTCGATCATAAGACGCTTCTCCTTCGTTGTTCCAAGCTTAACGAGGCACTCGTACAAGGAGTACGAGTCTGTACAGACACCAAGGGAACCTCAGGTATTCTAAGTCGTTCTGTGACTATTC